GATTCTTATCAAGATATTTCCATATTTCTTTATAACTATGTTTGTCAATTCTTTGCTTAGAACAAGATATTATAAACATTTATAATTTGACTAATAGTTTATTAGATTTATCTATATGAATTAAACTTGAAAAATACACCGTATGTACAAATCGTTAAAATTCTATGTGGAGTGTGCCCCACATATTGTCCGCATGTATGCAATAAGTGTGTGTAAAAACTTCTTGGCAGAGATCCCATTTTACTATAACAAAAACTAGAGGGAGGGACAAGACCATCATATGTGTGACCACGTATTCACTCTATAAATCCTTTTGTTCATTATTTTTTTCTTTTTTCTTCAAAATACGAGGGTCATATATATATAATAAATAAAGGGAAGTGTTATTAGCACTTCAAAAATCTCATTCTACACTTCTCACAAGTGAATTTTTCTTTTCTAATATAGAAAGTTTGGAGTGTAGAATGAGATTTTTGGAGTGCTAATAACAATTCCCTAAATAAATAGTCTATACCCGTTTTTGTATTGCTGGAATGAGATTCGTACTCTATTTTAATAATTCGAAACGTTTATTTTTCATTAGGTTCTCCTGTTAGAGATCATTCATAGCAAAAACTTGGAAAAACTGAAAATTAATAAAATTATTAGCATTTTAGTGTTTTCTTGGATTACCAAATTTTATTTCACTAAACGATAAAAATAATATGTCCAACGACGGACAAATTTTCAAAAGAAGTAGCTCTAGTGATCTATGTGACATCCCACATCGCCCAGGGGACTGATCCTTATATGTATATTCCCATCCCTACCTAGCACGAGGCCTTTTGGGAGCTCACTGGCTTCGGGTTCCGTAGGAACTCCGAAGTTAAGCGAGTAGCGCACGAGAGCATTCCCAGGATGGGTGACCCATCGGGAAGTTCTCGTGTGAGTTCCTAGAAACAAAACCGTGAGGGCGTGGTAGGGGCCCAAAGCGGACAATATCGTGCTACGGTGGCGGATTGGGCCCGGGAAGTGGTCCCCCCCGGGCCGGGATGTGACAATCTAAGCAATCAATACCTTCGAATCTTCAATAATGTGTCCAACAACGGACAAATTTTCAAAAAAAAAAAAAAAAACCCCTCAACGCAATTACAATCTAGAGTGAATCGCTCTCCAACAACAAATTTTGAAGTCCCCGACTATTCACTAGAACCAACCCCTCCCTAGCTCCTAAACCCTTAGAAGTGTGTAATGCACTTAAATAAGATTTAAATCTCAAATGTAGTTGGATCTCTTGTATTTACTTTTCATATCTTAGATGAATACAACAATATTCAGATGACTTCCAACCTTATCCGCTTGGCTTGTCCCACCTGCATACATCTCACTCTATTGCGCCTCTTTTGTTCCCCTCAACCTTAGTGTGCCATCCTTGCAAGCCAACATACAATTAAAACTCAAAAATATCGACGTTCGATGATATGGAAATATACACAGATGGTTGCAATTATTGTAAATATAGGTATGCATTTTTGTCTACTGCCCTTTACAACTTTCAAATTTCAATGCAGTGTGGCTACCACTAACTATCTGAAAACACATTTGATTTAATAATAATGACTTGAAATGGATGTGTTTGATAAACTTTTATGTTCAGCATGGTCCATTCTCAATTTCACTGATATTATTCTAACTTAATCATATATTACTAGGTGTTGAGCTTTATTCTTGGGAATATTACGATGGAAACTCTCATTCAGCATGGTCCACCCAATATCACTAATATTGTTCCAACTTAACCACCTATTACTAGGTGTTGAGTTTTATCACAAAAAGCCTTCAGAATATTAGGGTGGAAACTCTCATATATGAATTGTATATTATTTTGTTATATACCCGATGTGGGATCCTATTCTCCAACACATCCCATCGCGAGTGGTCCACACAGGGTCACAATGGAAACCAATTCCCATGTCGAGAACTGGTCAAGTCTGTACACCAGAGCTAACACAACTTTTCAAGAGCTGGTCAACATTCATTCTCTACAGTCAACGTAACTTTTTGAATGCCCAGTCATTTAATATCCTTAAGCTAGAACTAGCATAGCTTTTCGAAACCCCAACTTAAGGAGAGACAAATTCGAGCCAAGACGTCTAGAGAATGGCTAGCTTGCTTTGGTACCATGATAAACTTTTTAGGCTCAATATGGGCCACCACCAACATCACCGGTAGTGTTCAGACTTAACCACCTATTACTATATATGTATTAGATTTTTCTCACAAAAGTTCTCAGTAATATTAAGATGAAAACTCTCATATATTAATTGTTTATTATTTTATCATACAACCGATATGAGATCTATTCTTCAACAATTCTTTAAACCCTAAACTTCCAAACACATTTGAGCAATGATCAACACTGAGACTGAGGATTGATATAGTTGACCTAGTTGTCAAAAATCAGTCACACTTCTAACAAGAATAGCAGTTCCTAACTACTTATACCTGCGTCGAGTTTCCACATCAACGTCAATCATATTAACACTTCACTCAAAAGTCTTCAGAGGTTAGGTGGCACAGTTGGCCATTACGATAAGAGAAGTGAATGTTAGGATAAAGCATTCATTATGGTCCTTTTATGTAAGAGAAACAACAACCAAGTCGATATAATGACTTGATATGGATGAGTCTGGTAGACTTTTTAGGATTAGCATGGTTCACTACCAACATCATTGATACTATCTTAACTTAATCATCTATTATTAAGTGTTGAATTTGATTACAAAATACCTCAGCGATATTAAGGGTAGAAACTTCCATTTAGTAATCATATATATGCTGGATGTGAGATCCTTATTTTTCAACATGACTATGTAGAGAGTTCTTTAAACCCTAAACTTATGAACACATTTGAGCAATGATCAACACAGAGACTAAGATTGATATAGTTGACCTAGTTGGCAAAAATCAATCATACTTCTAAACAAGAATAGCACTTTAACTACTTATACCGCGTCGAGTTTCCACATCAACGTCAATTATATTTACACTCCACTCAAAAGTCTTCAGAGGTTTACTGGCACAGTTGATCATCACGATAAGAGAAAGAGAATGTTAAGATAAGGCATGCATTATGGTCCTTTTCATGTAAGAGGAACAACAACCAAGTCGATCTATGTGTCCAAGTAATGATCGGCTACGTTGGATTAGTGTTGAGGACTTTCTTGGCTCTGAAAATTGAAGCGCAAAGGTCAACTCGCAGATTACTTTTCTTAATATAGTTGGTCAGGTCTTTTTGCCCATCAAATGAAAACACTTTCACTATGACTTGGAGAGGTTTCAATTGTTAAACCAAAGACCAGTCGAAGGGTTCAACATTCACCATATTAGCGAAACCCCTTGTAAGGAGCTTCGAGTATGTTAAGATATTCTATATCAAATCTTCAATTTTCAATTTGTTAAATTGTGTTAAAAAGATGTTTGTATCTCTTTAGTGAAGAGGAAAAGGACTGTTGGGTTTAAGTTTGGTAAGATCAAGTAGTACTATGTATTTCTCTTTATTTATAATTGAGAAGTCTCGAGTCCAACTCAAATAGATAAAGATGACATATAATATAGTAACTTAATTCCTTTATAGTAGATTATTGTTGGATAAAAAATATTTGGTGATCAAATGTTAATCAGTGTATGAGGAATTATATAGGGTTTGGTAGTAACATAACAAATAGAAACAGCCAATTACTAGGTTGTTGTCTTTAGGTGTAGGCATCATAAGCCAACCGAACCAAATGGATCTACTCAAATCGTATTGATCGGTTTGGTTTGGTTTCAACCAAGAAAAAAGTTAAAGTCAAACAATTTAATTAAAACAGAATTGAGATATTTATTTTTTATTTTGTTTGGTTCGGTTTTAATATTTTTGAAAATCAATCCAATCAAACTAAACCAAACCGATCATGTATCCTTTACTTATTAGTTTATTTAATTTACACATGTCAACATATATATTATAGATTATTTAGAGGTCTTACCATACATATATTATGAGTCTCAACTTATTATAAGTTGTAATGAGTATTATAATATTTATATGTATTTAATGCTTATATGAGGCTTGTAACTAATAAATTGTTTGCTAGCATGAGATTTCATTTAACTGAAACTCAGTTCTATTTGACTTGATGAATTTTTATGTTCCAGAAAACTTATTATTTTGATTGAATTGGATTGTGTGAGATGTAAGGATATTTAGAAGATTAAAACTCTTGACATGTTGAACGCATTTTTATTTATGTGTTGGAATAGGCTTAAATGAATTGAACCACAATGATTTAATTTTATCTATTTCAAGTGGCGGTATTGGTCAAAACCGAACCATAATGTTAGTTCGGTTATATCTTTGGCGATTCATAATGAGGTAAGCCCATTAGAAGCATGCTGTCCTTGTTTGATAGGGATGACTAATTTGGATAGGACTATTAACTACATTAAGGCATTTTGAAGGAAGAAACAGATGAGAAACTTCCATGTTTTGTATTGTGGGGTTTTAGAGCAATGAAATGTATTTTGCCCTACTGCGTACGTCTTAGACCGATGAAAATACAGATAAAAGTTTATAGCATATTTGAAAAGCTGCTTTTGTTGCTATCGGGTCGGTATCACGACACTTGAAAAGCTGCGTTTGCGCTTGATTCCCATGTTCACTTGGCTTACACCTTCTGTCAAACAATATCTCTCATTTTGTGATGTTCCTTCAAGGAGCACATATATATGGAATCCTTTTAGCATCATTTATGTGTTGACAACTTTACCAGCCATCATATAACAATTAGTTTGGATTACTAATATTGTTCCACCAGATAAAATGCTGAACAACGTTGATATCATTTGATATAGTGACATTTACTCTTTATTTTGTTCATATCTCCCACTCGTTGGATAAAACAAAAAACATAGGTTTGAGTAGTTGTGGATTCAAAGTCCATCTTGATGTGAGAGTATATGAAAAGAAGAAAGTTGAATTATGTAATTAAAGGCCAAGTTTCAGGCACACTAAAAACTCTTTCATTGAAAAGAAGCAAATTTTTATAAAACGTAGCTCTCTGACATATATAAGACAACCTGAAATATGTAAAATAAACTCTAGTACATAGTACAGTATATAATAAGTAGTAACATAATACTCTGGAATCCGATTCCAGAGCCTACTTCTTAATCACACTCATATACAACGCAAACATAAGATCGATCTAACAATATATAGTACTAGTTATTGGCCAAGAGAGCTTGCGATTGCTTTTCGTAGCGGAAACCAAGTTTCATGGAATCATCAGCAGACCAAACAAAGATACCACCAAGTTTTCCCTCACTCTTGAGCCTATGGCAGGCTTTAAAAAAACCGTTCTCCGGAGACAATCCGCCGCTCCCGTCACTGATAAAGCTTGCCAAGACCTGTCCGCCGTTGTAATTGGAGCTCTGAGTGTTGAAATAATTGATGAACTGAGACACTGTGGTGCCCTGATCGTATGCATAAAATTGGAAATTGACATAGTCAATCAAATGGCCATAGCTCTTCCACAAGGCCAAGTAGTGACTCTGAACTTGATCATCGTCGAACGGAGCAATGGAAGCAAATGAGATGACTCCATTGTTCTTTAGGGTTGTTATAAGCCTTCCAATGCACTCGGAAAATGTATCAGGGTCCGCTTGAAAGTGCTCGTAATCAATGTCGATTCCGTCCAAGTTGTACTGTTGGATGATGCTTGTGAGTGAAGAAACAGCATTTGAAACCCAGGAATCAATCGAGGAAGGGTTGAAGTAGGCAGAACCACTGCCGACACTGTCTCCTCCTAAGCTCAAGGCCACTTTAACGTTAGAATGTTGGTTTTTTATGGAGGAAACTTGGGAAGGGCTAAGGTTGTCGAGTCCCAAAAGACATTGAATTTGCCGTTGGTGGGAGAGGAGCCTGAGGGGTCATAGTCTATGGCAAAGGAGAGGATGAAGTGGAATTCGACATTAGGGTTTATGGGGACATCGAAAACTTGACGTTGTTGAATTCGGCTCCTATGTATTCTCGGAAGAGATCGGAGTTTGCCGGACCGGCTTGGATATGGGATGTGAGGAGGGCTTGAAGGAAGAAAAGGGCGATGACGAGCTTAAGCTTGGGAACTGCCATTGCTAATATTGAAGAGTAGTGCTAGATGTTTTGTGTGTGTGGCGATGAGTGACATTGAACCTTGTTATGTTCCAGTTTTATAGTGCATTAATTACTCAATGTGAGACGGATTATGTGGAAATTAAACAGGATGATTAATCAGGCAGCGTGTGCAGTGCCGTTGCAGTAGTTGTGTTTTTGTGTTGAGCTGTGTCTCGGCAGAATTGCACAAGACAAAATTGTGGTAGGCATCTAGATTGTGTATATCAGTATAATATTTATAGTTCAGTATAATACAACTGGTTGAATTTTTTTTCAAGTTTACAATTTATTGTATTATTACACTTAGTGTACCAAATCATGTTCCCGTCACATTGAAAAATGTCATATTTATGGCTTATATATTTAGTGACATCATTTGATAAGGTTTGAAGTAACAAATGTTGAAAGTAAGTAATTCCATGGGGTCATTCTACAAGTCAATTAAAAAATCAATAACCACAGTTGCACCAACCAATTAATTCTATAATACAAACAATGACAAATAATCGTACCCACAACAACTTCTACTTGGGACTTGGGAGCTTTGAAGAGGGAGGATCAAGTTAGGAAAATGGGAGCAACTAGAATAATTTTTAGGGTTATATAATTTACAGTTTGATGCATGTACAAATATATCTCGTTATAATTACAAAATATTATAAAGACATATTCAAAACTTATTTTATCACTAAAGCAAAATGACTTATTACACATGAAAAAAAACCTAAGCATTTTACATTTTTGGAATAATTAGAATTTCTTACATTTTTTTTTCAACTTGTATAGACTAAACATATATTACTGTACAAAATTTGATTAAGACGCTTTGATCACTTGTCAACTTAGCAATTTTCTATTTATTTAATATATATCCACTTAAGCTAGCTAACAACTAATTTCCTACCTAATAAAAAAAAATCTACAATCTAGGAATTTTAAATTCGTGGCTTTATATATTAATTTAACTACTTGCTCATTATCACTACCACTTAGTACTACAGTTTAGTGGTAGTCTTTTTCACTTGTAAACGAGAGGTCTTAGGTTCGCTTTAATTTGTTAAAATTTTACGTATAATTATATAAAAAAATGTATCTAAGACTTATGGTGTATTTGAAAATAAATGTACCAACTTTTTGTACATTTGGATTTTAAATGTGCCAAGAAACAAAATGTATCAGAAATCCAAATGTACGACAAAATTAAATGCACTCATATTAGAGGTAATCTAATGTGTATAATCAAACGTGCTCCTAATAAAAAAAAAAAAGCTTAATTAAATTATTAAAAGAAACAGATGTTTTATTAACGAAATTGAAAAACGAAACCCCTCATTCAAAACGCTCCTACATTTTTTCAAAAGTGTATTTGTTTTTATTTCTATTTTTAATTTTTTGAAGTCGCGAGGAATGTATTTAGCACCAACACGATGTGCCTTCACACGTCACTCTTTATCACGTGGGGCAACTTTGCCACCATACACGTACGGACATACCCACTTTGTCTTCCTTTTCATCATCTTCAATTGTGTTTTCCCTTCCTGTCCCAAATCTTTTCACAGTTTCATCACCATGTATTCCGCTTGACTTATCACTATTAAACAATTCCACCAATTGCATAAATTACCAAATCAAACGGTTGGTGAAAATTTGACAAACTTGAACTTTGTTAGATACTTTTATTCAACAACAAATTGAATTGGTTTCTTCATTTATCAGCTCTGCAAACATGCCTCGTTAAATTAGGTTATTTACGCGTTCACGTGTAACTCTTGCACGACACGTTTTTGACTTGTTAATAAGATTATTTTGATAATTTAACAAAAAAAATTAAGCACCCATTATTTTCTTACCCTCTCATTCTCGTGCTAAGATAATGGATTTAGGTATAATGTATAAATTTTTAAATAGCTGCAAATAGTTTTAAGTTTTAGGTTCATCTCCCTCTCCCCTAACATAAAATATTAAAACTGCCACTTTGTAACCTAAGAAGTATTAAATTCGAATATCATAAATGATGAGTTTGACACCAATTATTTCCCTTACCACTTAGTATGTACAACTTTCCTCTAAGGTCATTACACCCTGTTAAAAAAATTTATTGACCTCTACTTAAAAACGCAAAATATTGATCGATCCAATTTTATTTCCAATAACATTTTGTGACCTCAACCAAATTACCCATATGATTTTTATTTTATTTTAAAATGACTAGTTGATGACTTAGCCACGGTAGTCTACCCTTCCGGAGGCAGAAAGACTCACAAAGACATTTCAACCTCTTCCTGGCCACTATTGTGCAATTCACCAGCACCAGGAGTCAAACTCAGGACATGCCCCGTGAAATACAAAGTTGGAATTTGTCCCTAACTACTTGGCGTAGAATTTGTCACCCATATGATATACATTGAATGTTTAACCAAAATTTAATATGTTTACAAATGGTGACCACTACAACACAAACCTAACTGTGAACATCTCAGATTTCCGAAGTCTCCATCAAACTGGAACCAACTTTCTTAGAGGCCAAATTATTTGTCTTCAAGATTCAAAATTTCAAAATTAAACGACTCCTAAATACGTCATTTGTCATTTTTCTTCTTGATTTTGTAATCAAAACCCAAAATTATATACTTCACAGTGACAAATATTTGAGCGGGGCCATCATATTTAATTGATGGGGCCCAGATTTACCCATAATTAGTTTAAATGCGCACATTAATTGAAATTTGACCTAATTAAAAAAAACGACACTAATTAAACCCAGGTTAATAGAAACAAGGAAGGATATATCCGTAATATCTGGTAACAATAGGGGCAATAATTTAAACCCGGTTCCGTTTCAAATTATTTGAAAGGATCAGCGAGGTGAGGACTCTTTGTCGATTCATAACGGTCGGGAATTAAACCATCTCTGCAAACGGATATTTATTTTAGTTGACGGCGTTAAATAGACGCGTCAATGCCGTCCTCAGAATTTCACACGCTCCCGTTAACGTCTCTTGAAAATTAGCCTAATTTATATTTTTAATTAAGATATTGTTATTTTATTTTTGAGCTCCAAACGCAAAATCAGGAAACCCTCAAAACACAGTCCGTCGTTAGTCTTTCTTGTTTCTCACAGCTCTCTCTCTCTCCCTATACTCTACGACTACGACTTTCTCTCTCTAGGGACCGCCATCGCCGTTGCTTCAAGCATCTCTCTGGACTTGCAGTCCGGCCGGCATTTCGATTTCACTGTAAGTTTCTTCTTCATCTTTTTCTTCATTAATTCTGCGTTTTTGTCTGTGTTTTCTGATTTCTTTGGTTGAATCGCACACATTTTGGTTTCGGTCGTTCGTTTTCGATCATTTTCCGATTCGCATCTCTATATCTGGGTGAATCCAGAATTGCATTGCTCGAATTTGTTTGGCGATCGATCGTTGACTCGAAGATTGGAAATTCAAATTATCCTATTAATATGCACTCATCTTGAATGATTATATATATATATATATATATCTGTGTGTGTATGTACGTATGTACACTGGTACTGATGAGTGAAGGTTTTCAGATTCAGAGGGCAACAGAGCTATGGATTCCTCACAGTCCCAACAGAGAAGAGGAGGATTGGTGTCACTATCACCCTCGCAGACGCCAAGGTCGAGCGACAAGTCGGTGCGAGATCTGCGATCCGGGGATTCGAATTCGACAAACAGACATGAGAAGGAAAAGGGTGTCAATGTGCAGGTCCTTGTGCGTTGCAGGTGAGTCGGATTTCGAGTTGAGTTCAGTGAGATGTTGTCTGAGTGAGTGAGTTAATCCATTAGTTTGCGTTTGTAGGCCATTGAGTGAAGATGAAATGAGGGTGCATACGCCGGTCGTGATTTCTTGCAATGAGAGTAGAAGAGAAGTTGCTGCAATTCAGAATATAGCTAACAAGCAGATTGATAGAACTTTTGCGTTTGACAAGGTTTGTGGCTTGGAATAGTGAAACTAAAATTTCTTGTGTGTCTTCTCCTTCTAATTATGCACTAGGGTCTTATTTGATGAAGGAATTCATGGATTTTGATCGATTTTGGGTTCCCAAAGTTCCGAAATATAAATAAGGATTTATCCTAAATTTTAGTTCAGCGCAATTGGTATATGTTTCCTGTTCTTATACTACTTGTTATATTCTTTCTTTGCGCTGGTAAGTGATCAGAAAGTTGGATAGTGTTGTTTAGGTCTTTGGTCCGGCATCCCAACAGAAGGAACTGTATGATCAAGCTGTGGCACCAATCGTAAATGAAGTTCTTGAGGGATATAACTGCACTATCTTTGCCTATGGTCAGACAGGGACGGGAAAAACATACACAATGGAAGGAGGAGCAAGAAAGAAGGTTGGTTTGTGACTTTAGAATAGTCGGCACTCTGTATGTTACGTTATGATATTCTTTTTCATAATATCCTAATTGGATTTTGTGATTTTTGTAGAATGGGGAGTTTCCAAGTGATGCGGGTGTTATCCCAAGAGCTGTTAAACAAATTTTTGACATATTAGAAGCTCAGGTTGCTGAGTATAGCATGAAAGTCACATTTTTAGAGCTGTACAATGAGGAGATAAGTGATCTTTTGGCCCCTGATGAGAACATGAAGTTTGTAGATGACAAATCAAGAAACCCATAGCTCTCATGGAAGATGGAAAGGGTGGTGTTTTTGTAAGAGGCTTGGAAGAAGAGATAGTGTGCACAGCAAATGAAATTTATAAAATCTTGGAGAAGGGATCGGCAAAAAGGCGTACAGCTGAGACACTTCTCAACAAACAAAGCAGCCGTTCGCACTCAATATTTTCCATCACAATTCACATTAAGGAATGCACTCCAGAGGGCGAAGAAATGATTAAGTGTGGGAAGCTGAATCTTGTAGACCTCGCTGGTTCTGAGAACATTTCACGCTCTGGTGCAAGAGAGGTATGGCATAAAATTAATTGTCTAAATCAATATAATGATGTAAAGCACATGCATATGGTGAGTTCCTTGGGCTGTTATTTTACTAACTGGATCTTATTGCCACAATGTCAATC